GTATATGCTTTACTTTTCACATATGATCGTAATACGAATATTATGCAGGCTTTCTGTGAGGCATGGTGCCCTGTTACCAACACATTGCTTACCTCTGCTGGAGAACTATCCATATCACTTTGGGATTTGTATAAGATCGGTGGTTTGCCTATAACAGGATCTCCTTACGAGGAAGTTGTGCCAAATGTTGAAGAGCTTACATGCACGTATGACAAGGGGAGAAGGTTTCTTCCCCAGACTAGTGAGCATTTGTTTGATGCCTTCCATCGGCTCCGAGAGGGAGGTAGCAATGATCCAAAGGTTTCTGCGAAAAAATGGGTAGAGTTCTGGTGCAGGAAGACAATGAAGTATACTCACCCTCCTTTAAGGAAAGAAAAGAAGTCTGCTCGTTTGAAATCGACGCACAATCCTACCGGGGTCATAGAGGAAGCAGTTAATTGGTCGACTGTTGAAGAAGCTTTATTCCATAAGCTAGGAGTTATGGATGACAAGAAAGACGAGACGTACTTGGCTGCTTTTCTATCTTGTTGGTTATGTATTTTTGCTCCCTTCAAAAGATGGTGACTTCATTAGTCCTGGGACTTCTAAGATCGCGTGTCATCTTGCTTGTAAACGAAGAGTCAGCCTTGCAGTCCCAGTCTTAGCCAGAATATATAAGGGTTTGAACGAGATTTCAAAGTGCTCGTTGCTTGATCCTGCTCAAACTTGCTTTCCAGCTCATTATGTGTATGCTTGGTTAGCCCATTACTTTAAGACTCATTTTCCGTATGCAAAGGGGCCAGCTGTTCCTCTCATGGCCGCATGTTCTGGTGAAGGTGCTGCTAGATATTTTGGGAAAGAGGAAGCAAGGAAGCGTATTCATAATGGAGAAAATATCATTTGGACTTCGACAATGTCCCATAGATCTGATCCGTACTACTAGTATGACGATGGTAAGACAGATGAGTTCGAATTAAATTTCTTTATGAGTATTCACTCGAATTATCTTCCTTTGAGGGACAGAGTCAACTTTATTATTGAACCTTATATCCCTCATCGATTAAGCCGTCAATTTGGTTTTTATCAAGACACCCCTGGTCGCTTGGAGCAAGATTTTTGTGAGGCCTCATTAGAAGAAGGGTTAAGACTTGCACGGATTTGTGTGTTGACTAGATCTAAGTCGAGGGCAGTATTTCCTCCTTTTGGGTCCAACATGAAGAAGTTTACATCGTCTAACTATAGATCTTGGTGGGCAAGGGCGCATGGAAGCCTTCTACCGCAATGAGGATGTCTTAGTGATTGATAAGCTTCCTGCTTCACAGTCTAAGGTAGTTGAGATGCGGGCAGGCAACGGACCCATGCTACGCAAAGAAGTTCAAAGAGAAGAGATCCATACTCTAGTTGACTAAAGTCTTATTCCATTTGGTGTAGTCGTTGATGCCTCTAACAAGCGCCTATCCCAAGATGAGAGTGATAGCAGCAAAGGAAATCAATGTTGGAAAAAGTAAAGGCCAAACCCAGAAGGGATTGTAGAGGTCCAAAGCGTTGATAGCCCTTCAAGAACACTAACAGCTCAGAACGAGAAGGTAAAAGTAAACATAAACTTTTTATTTTTGTTATCCATGGCCAAATGACTTTTCTAAAGTGTTCTTACATTTATTTATTTATTTATTTCCAGGCTAATAACGTTCGAGCGTTGCAACGAGTAAGGCCACAAGATAGTGGTGAGTCTGTAGCAGGACCGGACCCACAGAAATCATCTTCCACTGCTAAGCCGGATCAAGAGGCAACTCTTATTTCTCATGATGAAATTAGGGCAAAGTTGCGCTCTGATTTGCGTGAACGACCAACAATTGCAGCTTCAGTTTTTGATGGAAAAAAGGTTGTCTTGGATATTCGAAAGGAGTTTATCTTGAAGCTTTGGACTTCGATTCAGCGAAAGCTGAAAGGCAGCACTGCAGACAATGTCTGTGAGCTTGAAGAAAATACTAAAGTGATCCTTGAGGCAATGGGTGGGGATGATGTGGATATTTCCCCTTTGAGAAACCTATTAGAGTCCCTTTTTGAGTTTGCTGCTTCATATAATAAGACACAGTCGGATTTATCTGAGAAGGTTGAAGAGAATGCAATATCAGATGTTGAGGTACACCTTACAAATGCCATGATTGAAGAAGAAGAGAAGGTTAGAGAAGTGTCATCTATCCGCCAGTCTCTAGTTACAGCGAAAGAGAAGATAGAGAAGCTCCGTGAAAAAGAGAAGAACTTAGAAGCCCTTTTAGAAGTTGCTGAGAAAGAAGTTGAAGAAGCCAAGTTAGGAGCCTCAACTACTAGAAAGGAGTATGATGCATGCTGCACTGCCTCTTTGACTGCTGATGACTTGGCTGATTTGGAGAAGAAGAAGAAATACTTGGAAGCTATGCTCAAAGATTTGTCCAACTACAAGTTGTGCTTAGATTAGGCTATAAACACTTCTTTATTTGTTTCTTTTTCTTTTCTTCTTGCATTTGATTGTTTAGTAGATGTTCTCATCAGCAATAAAACTTCTTTTGCTTTACTTTATATTATGCGTTCTCATTAATGTTCTCCTTTGTTCTTGACTTTTTTTTAGTGCTTTATGGATTTGAAGACTTGACATGCTTGCAGACTTTAATTTAAAGAACTAGCCGGTTTGAACACTTCAAATTGATTATGTAACAAACCTGGAAAATCAACTTGACTTAAAATCGGAGACTTCAACTTGAATACTTAGCCTCTTATTAAAGAAGCTACCATCGTTCCATCAAAGACCTCAATTTGACATGGAGGAATTATCCCCATTGAGCCATCAAGACAAGACAGAGGGTTCAACGAAAGAATACATGTACACCTAAATTCCTAGTGTCGATCAAGTGAATTATATTCCATCATACCTCATTTGAAAAATGCCTTGGGTAATATGTATATTTTGAACTCATGTGACTGAACTTAGAATGAAACTCTAAGCTGCCTACGTACCTCGGTGAAGAGGATTAAGTCATTTCGTAGTTCGAAATGGGTGAGTCTTTTTTTGGACCGTGCACAGTTTATACTCCTGCGGGCTAGGAGTAACATGCAGTTTATGCTCATGCATTAAGGAGCGTATTTGTTTTCTTCAAGGATAGTATCTCTTCATGAATTTCCCATTGATGGGGCCAATCCGCGAACCTTCTGAGTTAACTATCTTGTAAGCGCCACTTGAGTATACCTCTTGTACAATATATGGTACATCCCACTTAGCAGAGAATTTGCCCACAGATTGCGAGAGGTAATAATAGGCCTTTTGACCACAAGAACTTGGTCACCCACTTGGAAAGATCTAAGGCGCACCCTTTTGTTAAAAGATCGAGACAGGCGAGCTTGATAACATTCAAGGCTTTGTTGAGCTTCTAGCCTCTTTCATCAAGAGCTTCCAATTCTTCAAGGCATAACCGAGAATTATCCTAATCAGTGAGTCCTTCTTGAATGGCAAGCCGCAACGATGGGATTTGACGCTCAAGTGGAAGGACCGCTTCAACTCCATAAACAAGTGAATAAGGAGTCGCTTGCGTTGGTGTGCGATATGTGGTCCTGTATGCCCAAAGAGCTTCTTCCATCCTTTCATGCCAATCGCTCTTAGACTTAGAGACAACCTTTTTCAACAAGTTGCAGAGCATCGTGTTAAATGCTTCAGCAAGTCCATTGGCAGCAACTTAATACATGAAGGAATTGCGTTGCTTGAAGCCAAAAAGATCACATATTTTATTCATCAACTTGTTATCAAATGGCTTACCATTGTCTGTCAATATATATATCGAGGAATGCCAAAGCGATAGATAATATTGACTCGGATGAAGTTAGCCACATTTTCCTTCTTTACTTCCTTAAGAGAAACAGCTTCAGCCCACTTTGAGAAGTAATCAGTTGCGGCCAAAATGCATAGATGTCCACCAGAAGACTTTGGCAATGGGCCAACAATATCCAAACCACAAGCATCAATGGCCAAGAAGTAATAATTGGGTGTAATACTTCTGGTAGTTGATGTATGAAGTTAGCATGGAATTGGCAAGCTTTACACCTTCGAGCGTAATCTAAATAATCTTTCACCATGGTTGGCCAATAATACCCCATATTTATGTGGAAGTGAAGTTTTGGCCCAGATTGATGCGCACCACATACTCCAGAATGTGCTTCTTGCAGGGCTTGAAGGGATTCATCAGCCCCCAAACAACGAAGGAGCACTCCATCAAATGATCGTCTGTAGAATGCATTCTTGTAATAAAGAAAACGAGGGGCTCTCCTTCGGATTTCTGTCTTCCTTCGGGGATTTTTTGGTAATATCCCATAACAAAGATAATCAATTAATGGTTGTCACCAATCTTCAATTTCAACCTCAAGAACGGAAGCAGGATACTTGACTTCGCTTTCTTCTTCCTCATAATCATTTGGTGGAGGAACTACCCATCTTTAGCAAACAACGACTTGTGTCTGATCAGGCAAAGATAATGTAGAAGCTAAGGCTGCTAATGCATCAGCTCTGTTGTTTTCCTTTCTCGGCACGTGTCGAATAGTTACCTCTCCAAGCCAACTTACCAATCTTTGAGCATATTTGTGATGTGGCACCAATTCTGGCTTCTTGACCTCATAGCTACCCAAAATCTGATTGATCACTAACTTGGAGTCTCCAAAAACTTGTAGTTGCAATTGTTTGATATCCACAGCCATTTCAAGCCCAAGTATGAGCGCTTGATATTCAATAACATTATTGGAGCACCGTTGTTTCAGAGTGAAAGAATATGGCAAAACTTCTCCTTGAGAAGTGATAAACACTATTCCAACGCCAGCTCCTTCACGATGTGCAGCGCCATCAAAATACATCTTCCAAGGAGGTTGAATTTCTATGACCGTTGCATCTTCATCAGGCAATTCATCAGACAACTCCCAATCATCTGGAATTGGATGGTCAGCTAGGAAGTCTGCTAATGCTTGTCCTTTAACCGCCTTTTGAGGAACATACACAATTTCAAATTGTTGAAATTGGACGTACCACCTCGCTAATCGATCGCTTAGGACTGGTTTAGACATGACAAACTTGATAGGATTCGCTCTTGAGACGAGTCGCACAATGTGAGCCTGGAAGTAATGCTTCAGCTTTTGAATAGAGAAGACAAGTGCCAAACATAACTTCTCGATAGGTGAATACTTGAGCTCATTTGGCGTCATCATCCTACTCAAGTAATAAAGTGCATTTTCTTTGCCTTCATTGTTTCCTTGAGCTAGAAGCGCTCCTACTGACCTTTCCTATGCTGAAATGTTTAATATTAATGGCTTTCTAGGTATGGGGGCTGATAGTACTGGAGGTTTCATCAGATAAGACTTAATGCTTTCAAAAGCATTTCTGCAAGCTTGGTCCCATTTAAAAGGAACCCCTTTCTTCATGAGGCGACTAAATGGTTGGCATCTTCCAGCTCTTCCAGCCAGATTCGAAATAAATCTTCTAAGATATGCCAACTTACCTTGTAAGCTTTTTAACTCATGAATATCCTTAGGCTCGGGCATTTTCAAGATAGCATCCACCTTAGCTTGATCAATTTGGATACCTCGGTATCGAACAATAAAACCAAGGAACTTCCCAGAAGTAACTCCAAAGGCGCACTTCAATGGATTCATTCTGAGTTGGTATCTCCGAAGCCGTTCAAATACCATCCTCAAATCTTGCAAGTGATCATCTTTATTCCTTGACTTTACCACCAAGTCGTCAACATAACACTCCACATTTTTATGAAGCATGTCATCAAAAATATTTTGCATGGCACGTTGATATGTAGCACCAGCATTCTTCAAACCAAAAGGCATTACCTTGTAGCAGTTTATACCTTTAGGGGTGCGAAAGGCAGTAAGTTCTTCATCCTTCGGTGCCATGCAAATTTGATTATATCTAGATGAACCATCCATGAAAGTTATCGCCTCGCATCCAGTCGTTGCATCAATCATGAGCTCAGGGATAGAAAGAGGAAATTCATCCTTAGGACAAGCGTTATTTAGGTCCCTAAAGTCAACACAAACTCGGATTTAGCCATTCTTCTTTCTTACAAGGACGATGCTTGAAATCCATGTAGGATATTTAACTTCACGAACAAAACCAGCCTCAATAAGCTTGTTAACTTCGGTTTCAATCAAGGGAACCAGTTCAGGTCTGATGCGACGTTGTGCTTGCTTCATAGGACGAGCACCTCGTTTGACAGCAAGATGATGAACGACCACCTTAGGGTCTAAACCTGGCATTTCTTTGTAGCTCCAAGCAAATACGTCTTTGAACTCCTTAAGTAGCTCAATATATTTGCCCTCTTCATCACTGGTTAGAGAGGCACTTATATATGTGGGCTTTGGATCTTCAACTATTCTGAGATTGACTTCTTTTAGCGCATCAACCGTTGTTTTCACCCCTTCTTCAAGCTCGGGTGGTGCATCTTTAGCGTCTTCATCATCTTGAGGATCACCATCATTGAAAGATATGTGATGACATACATGAATATCAAGGCACTTTTCCTCGACTTCCGTATAAGATGAAGCATTTTGTTCATCATGAATGGTGATATAATATGATGACCCCACACTTTCTTCATCTTCCTCCCGTTCTTTAGTGTGTACTATAGTATGAGCCTTTGCTTTGAGGACCTCTTCG